CGCTACAAAATAATTGTTGGCCCTACAGGGCCGTTAATTTGCACTTCCTGATGTTATAATAAATGAAAAAGGCTATTTGTCAAAACTGTAAAGCTTAAAAAATGATTTTAAAAAATATAATTAAAAATTGTTTTTCCAATCTTACAACTTTGTTACCAGAGCAACGGAAGCCTGGAGCTTCATCTTTTTATTTTTATCACCACAATGAATACAAACATATATTAATCTACCTATTTGAAAATCTGTAGATTTTAATGATAACTGTCAGGGTTGTAATAAAAAGCAAATCTCTCACGTAATAAAAATTTTTTTTGTCGATTTTGACGCTGAAACAGAGCTATGGTGACACATTCTTGGATGTCAGCTGTTTGATTGTTGTATTTCATTTTTTACAATTAGTATTTAAGATGGTTGTCTGCTGCAATACCTTGAATAAAGAGAATTATTACGTTAACAAAAGATTAGTGAAATTTCTGCAAAAAAGAAATGAAAAATGAAGTAAATGTGGTGAAGAGTGCAGAAAAAAATAATTAAATCTTATTTTCTAATTTTATTCATGTAAACAAATCGCAATGGATCTCTATTTTTAGTCCATCATTACTCCTTGATTGTTCATAAAAAAATATTATGTTGTTACTTATATCTACTAATTACTAAATTTGCATCTACATTTATTAATTCTTATTTATATCATCAAAAAATAAATAAATAAAAGTGTCTTGCGGTGTATGGCAGCGTTAGGAGCAGCAACGGGCGCGTAGCAGCTGCCTGTGCCGCGCGGTGACTCACACCTATACATTAATCGGTCCAATACATAAAAATATCAAAAAAACCCTCTTTTTTCATTGACCATACTTTAGTTTAATGTCTCATCTTTCGATCTAGATCGTCAAAAAAATTCTAACAATTGTACATAATGAGATTTAACGCATTTTTACCAACATTTGCATTTTTATAGGCTATAAAGTGAAAATTTGTGAAAACTGATAGTACCAACAGAAAGCTGAGAAAAAAGGACATGGGGATTGATGTTTTTGTGATTTTTAAAACATTTTTCTCAGGCCCAAACGATGAGGTGAAAAAGAAAAAGTCATCTTTTACGCTCACGCAGCCTGTCTGCGGTGGCGCTGGGGCAGTTGAGAAAATTCTCTAAGCAGTTGAGAAGTTTCTAGCAAACCTGACTGCCTGGATACCTCAGGGTGATCTTCTTTGGCCTGCTGTTGTAGCACCAGACTGTTGGGAAGGAAAACTAGTACATCAGCTCTGCACAGCTCTTTCCCAACGTCTCCTGATATCACGCCAGAACGTTCGTGTCTAAAACACTTTCCTTTATTGCAGAGCTCAGCCGTTTTGGTGACCTAAGGGGGGAGATTAGTTAGTGATGCTTGCCTTTTTAAATTTTTATTGGATGAGAATCAAAAATATTTATTATCTTATGATGTTTACAATTGCTCAAGATTTTATAAATATAACTTAATAGAAATTTCTAAATAAGTTAACATTTGATTAAAAAATCGCTTTGCAAAGCAAAATAGCTTATAGAGAAATAATCTACGCTATCGAATAAGGGATTTTTTGCTACTTTATAATTGATATTTTTTATCACCATGAACACTTTACACAGATTTGTTTCATCATCTTTTGAATTACCAATAAATGCTACGAACGATTAAACTACTTTTTCATGTAAATCCACATCTATGTTTCTTTTCTCTTTAAAAAAGGTTAAATCTTGTTATGTCTAAAAGGTTGCAAAAAATATTTATAACTTCTAATTTTTATTAAAAAACAATGGAAATCAATATTGCAAGATTATAATAAATTTTTAAAATTTAATTAATACCTTTACAATACTTTTAATTATTATTCAATAAGCAACCAACCTTGCATTTATAAATAAAAGAATTTTACACGTCTTTAATAGTAGTTCCAACGTAAGGACTCCATACAGTTCTTTTGTTTGCGCGAATTAGACCCCAAATTAAAGGTAAGTATACAAAGGCAACAGTTTTTATTTTGCTTGTAAAGTAAAATAATGTTTCGTGTGAAAATTCCAAATGTTGTAACATCATCAATTTACTTCAAACAATGAAAGATATACATATTAATATCAAAAAAATTTAATACATCTCACTATTAGTTCTTAACTCTTCTTGACTTTTGCTTAACTTCTTTCTTACTTTAGCTTCACTTATAATTTTCAGTGCAGTTAAAGTCCACTGCTCTTTCAGGATGTTTTTTGACAAAGAATAAATTTTGTCAAAATCATTAGCTAGCTAAAAAAAATTTGTGATAAGTACAACCTCATTATGTATATGTACATTGAGAGAATACGAATACGAAGCAAAAAGTGTGAGTTTAGATTTTTTTTACCAAAATATAATCAATGCTACTACCTAGACACTTATAAACACTGAAAGTATCTTTTATGAATTCAAACTTAGCCCTTAAAGTAAAAGTACTGTTCCACTTTTAAATAACATCATGAACTGGGTCATTGTTTTTTGCAGCCATTAAACTTTTTTTTCTCGTGTGCATTCAATGGGTACGTCTAAATTAAAACGAATTATTAAAAAACAAAAAACTGAAATAAAATTGTCTAGATTTAGAATTCAGGTGAAAATAATTTTATTACCTTCTGTGTTAGGTGTTATTAACTTGTTTTTGATGAGAATCCAACGAAGCTTACTTATACTTGTCATATAGAGGTCCCCCAGCATAAATAGCACTGTTATTCACTCCTTCCCGAAATGGACGGTAAAATGAATTTGCTGCATCATCTACATTCCAAGGGAGTTTCCGAAAAATTTGAACTAATTCAGCAGCAATTTTAAGAAATCTTGCTTAACTTATTCTTAAAAATATAATGATGTACATTAATTATAAGCAAATGTTAACTATTCATGTTACTGTCAAATATACTTTACATCCTTTGCAATACATATTGTTGATAAATAATCAAACGTTACTGAATATACGTATTTATATTACTTACAGTTCTGACAATAATTCAGTTAATATTTAATAACACAATCTGTTATGAGCCTAGTATCGATGTTTTGACAATTTGAATCTTGAAAAGCTTTTTCTGCTATTTTACCATCATAGTCGTATGACATTAACTTTTTATTGGCATTTTTTGATAAACCATTCAAATCGAAATGAACATTTTGAGGATTTTTAAATAAATCTTCACGAAGATGCGCATATATTTGTCAATAGATCATTTAATTCAATTACTGGACTAGCATCAACGTCACCATATGTAGTGCATTATGAGTTTTACTCAGAATTAGTAAGGAAATGTGATGATTAATGTAGGATGATAAAGCAGGTGCATAAGAAAGACATTCATTCAAAAAAGTTTTAAACCTCATTTCAATTTTTTTTAAAATCCACATTCACTCTTACTAAATAACTTGCTCAACACTTCTTCATAAAATATTTAAAATATTCCTTTGTTTATTCCAGCAGATATCAAATAAAAATGTGTGAACAAATCATCATTGTGCAAAAACAAATTGCTGATTCAGACATTTCAAGAATATAGGAGTATAACATTTCGGTATATACCTGTATACTTACATGTACACCCAACGGAAATATATTCTCGGACAGGCCTGATCAGCTAGTTTGCGCGTTGAGTGCCACTGCCAATGTATCAAGCATCTGCTTGTACCTAACTTTACATGACCCTACACACTGGCAGTGATGCTCAACGCACAAAATCGGTGGTCAGGCTTGTCCGAGAATATCTTTCCGTTGGGTGTAAGTACACGTGTAGGTTGTAAGGAATAAACATGTAAAACTACGAATATTAACCTTAAAATGTACCAACAAACTTCTCCAGGCCCTATTCCATTATTTTATTTCTTGCAAACTATACTATACTATAATACATTAAGTGGCACAAACTAGATACATTGACTTTTGACGTGTAAAAAAGAAACCTGTCGTAAATAACGATTTTTCACTTAGTTTTAATATTTTACATTCAAGCCTTAGTATGGCAAGGTTATATTTCCAATCTATTCAAATGAATATCTGTACAAGGGCTTCTAAACGTTCAAGATATACCCAAGTCAGGGGTAAGGATCAGGGTGTCAAAATGCGAGAAAATAACTGTTCAAGATAACGTAACAAATGTTTTACTAAATCAAATACTATGCAAGCAAACTATTAATTTTACAAGGCACTAAAGATGTAATATCTCCGAACAGCACAGAAAATATGCATTTATTGAATATTTAGTTATCTCATTTTGTCCTAATAATGTAAGTTGGATGTATAATTTTAAACACTTTAAATAGAACTGCTATAACAGCCAATGTTTTTGCAGTTGACCTCATATTTGTATGTTTTTAGCCAAATTACATGGAAATATAGCAGTTTTATTCTGTAAGGCTATGAAAATTGATAGGCATCTAGTATTAGATACTACTTGTTTACATTGTGTTGGATAATTCTAAAAGAACTCTCAAATTTAAATACCATTTATAAATTTAATTTTTCTAATTAGGTACTTACGTACCTCGTAACATAGCTTAGTCGAGTATTGAGTCGATAAAAATAATTTGATCCGTAGGAAAAAAGGTGTATTTGCTCCTAGATTATATTTTGCAGCGAGTCCTACGGTTATAAATCTTGTTATTTTAGCTTAGTACCAACCATATTTTGTTAATATTTTTTTTTTTTAGTAAGTTTTAAGTGTTATAGCGTTGCAATTTTTTAAAGATTCGATAGCAACAGCTAATTTTATTAAGACTGTGTTATTGTAAAATGTGAATGTAAATGTAAATACTCATAGTTGTAGTTGAGCCGTCTTCAAGAGAGTCTGAAATTTTTTTTTTAAATAGTTGATTGTGTGTTGATCTGTATTTTTGAGTAGGAAGAACTTATATTTTAAAAATAATTGTATTATTGACAACGAAATTTACAAGTAAAAAAAAGAACAGTTAAAATAATGTTAAGAATCAGTAAGAATTAATAACGTAACCCACCTTTAATAGAAGATCAAATATTGATATTTTCGGATGCAATTTTAACTGCTTTAATTGTCTTAATTCAGCAACAGACGTTTTTAAAAGACAAGAAAGGTTGACCCGAACTTCTATGCCACTTGGCACATCATGCGGGGAAAAATTCCATGATTCAGAGCTAGAACTTTGATGTCTTTGTGATAAGCGTAGTTTTATGTCTTCTTGTAAAATCGTTTTACTTAAAGGCTGTTCTCTCGCCTTCAGAATAATTTTATGAATTTTTAATAAATTTTTTCGAACCAACGGTGGAATAGGATTACAGCAAGCAAGGACACCCTGTATTTCTCGGGGAAGAGTTTCTGCAATATTTAATAGCATATGGTTTGGTAACACGTAATTTGTACTATCATCTTCAATGCGCGCAGTTTCATCCCTCCACCTATCTAATTCTTTAAATGCATATAGTTGGCGGTTATTAAATATTTTTTGGCTTTTTCTGTAAATGTTCAAGTTACTTTCTTCGGTCCATATTGGTTTTCTGTAAGTATTCTTGCATATATCCGTACTTCTCATATAAACAGACTTGAGAATGTTGCTTTGACCATGAGCTGCATCAATCAAAGCATTACTAAGGACGTTTTTGAGATATAATAAATAGTGAGTGTCCTCCCTAGCGTATCTCAAGAGTTCATTTGGTAATGGTCTGATACGCCAGTCAGCTAACTGAAAATGCTTATTTATATCTATTTGACAGAATAATTTCAAAAGATAGGATAAACTTAAGAACGGTAATTCTAGTTGTTTTGCTGCTTGATGTGTATCAAACATATTTACAACATATATAGATAAATCTCTTTGTAACCATAAAACATCTGAATCAGCTCCATGAAATACTTTAAGAATGGAGGAGTCCGTGAAAATTTTATTTAATATGTGTAAATCAGACCTGAGACTCAACGTATCAATTAAATAATCTGTGTCTGTAGTTGATATTTGCATTACACAAGTAATACCAAGGAAACTCCTATAAGAATGGTGTTCCAAATCGACAGCTATTTCTGCACATTTTTCAAGATCCGTGAGCATATTTTTCAAATCCTCGATTTTTTCAATAATAATCAAAGGGGTTTCATCAACGGATTTATACTTGATCACAGGCTTTTTCAGAAGTTGTGTATCTGAAGGTTCAAAGTTGTTCAACTCGAGTTCATAAGGATGATTAAATATTTCATCTCCATTCTTATCTAAATCTGTATATAATTCTAGAAGTTTGACAGCATTAGGCTTGTATTTAATTTTAGGCTGCCATGGTTTTCGGCTATTGTCTATTTTATCTTTGAAACTAAGTTGCGGCTTTTGAATATTTTTTCCAGACAACAATCGAATTGCTTGTGAAGAATTTGAGAAAGCAGGTATTTGTTTATTGATATAGGAAGCAGAATTCCAGCTCCCATTGAGATGACTTGGCATTCTTGATTGAGACACTATCAATTCACTACTAGGATTTTTATTTATACCAGATTCTTCATCCATGCGTGCTCCCTTAACAGTAAAAAGAAAATAAATCATTAANTCCTTGCCAACAGCGACAAAAGCGTACTGATTTACTTTTGCCTATCTATCCTTTTTAACAAGTGAACGCCAGTAGACTTTTGTCATTCATCAAGATCAACATCAAACGTCGATGCTAATCAATAAATTTTCTTGATTAATCTATTCCCTTTATTGTTTCTGAGACACTATCAATTCACTACTAGGATTTTTATTTATACCAGATTCTTCATCCATGCGTGCTCCCTTAACAGTAAAAAGAAAATAAATCATTAAAAACTTTTACTTTACTTTATAAGCTTTATAAAGAGCATCTTAATTTAAAAATTATTTAACAAACTCCAACGTTTCTAGAATGTAGAATGACACTTATTAGTCACGGGAGTTGAAGAAAATTCAAAGATACAAGAAAAATGTTCTACGACCAATGTCTCAAATATTTTGATGACTAAAATAGTTTACAAAAATACTATATTTGACTAGTGTCGGATATTTTACGTAGTGTCTACTTAATTGACATAACCTACGAAAAATTATCAAATTATAAAATCAGTAGCCAGTGGGTGCTTGAGTAGCCAAGCATGAAGTTATACTTCTATAAAATTATATGGCAGATAATATAATTATGATTATAAAAATATCTTCTATGAAACAATAATTTGTACGAAGATGGTGCAATCATCACTGGAATGAGCATACCTACGTCCATTGGGTGTGTTTTCAGTTCATATTAATATTTAATAAATTAACGATTATAAAAAAAACATTGCGGCACAATACAATATACGCAATATATAGGCTGGCCTGTTCACTTTCATCGAAATTTCTGATAATTTTATAATGATTCCCTACTACCTACACTGATTAAATCTCTAACGTCACGCTTACATCTGTCACATACGCTCACACACTTATTCCTAGTCCATATTGAATAATCCGTAAAATATAATTCTATCCAAAAAATTAAAAGAACCCATCCTGTAGTTCTGTTTTATTGAATAGAGTAGGATTACACGCCAGTGCATGTCCCTTCAGGACTTTCATCACACATAGATTTTTTTCACATATGTTATTCTAACATCAAACATTTATTCAAAATAGCATAAAAAATACCCCAAAAATTACAAATTGTTTAACTGTTACGTACCTCGTAACATAGCTTAGTCGAGTATTGAGTCGATAAAAATAATTTGATCCGTAGGAAAAAAGGTGTATTTGCTCCTAGATTATATTTAGGGATCTTTTAATATTTGTTTGTATAAAAGATTACTTCTCGACAAACCTATTGAATTTTTAAATAGATCCACAAGTAGTTTTTCTTAACAACACAAGAAAGAATGGGTCAAGTATTTGTAAAAGCATGCATGTAAGTACATCCATATGAGAAAAATAATTGCCAGCGTTGCTGTTTATATTTGCGCCCCTCTCACCTCTTTGAACTTTTTCCCCGGTAACTATGTGAAGACCGTCAATAAGTCAAAAAAGGCATGCATAACGCGCCTATAGAAGTATAACTTCAATAAAACTTCAAAAGTGCTGTGATAAAGGTTCGAAGTACGATTTGTCAACTTTGAAAGAAGATGAAAAGATAAATAATATCATGTGTACCTATTTCATTTTTCGGACAAAAATTTATCATAACGTAAAGAATCTTCTTTTATTAAAAAAACCTAATATTCAAAGTAATTATAATTAAAGACCAAACAAAATCAAATGATATGTATAATAGACTTGAGATTCTAAATAATAAGTCGAAAGACCTAAAAAAAATGATATACAATCTTTAGCACTAACAAAAAAATTCATAAAGTTAACTTTTTTTTGCATTTTTGACTGAGTATTATAAACATATTGTACGTCTAGAAATTTTATTAATATTTTGAATAAATTGTTGGGCCACGGAGAGCTGTATGTAGAATGTTAGTCGACCATTTACGTTATCCTATAAAGGAAAATGTTTTTTTTTTTTTTTTTTTTTTTTCAAGTCCCTGGTGATGACAATACTAAATTGCCGAAATACCCCAGGAAATACCCAGATCGGAACCCCCAGCATCAGTGGCTGTACTAGCGGGAAAACAGGTGTCGTCATCATGCTACGATATTGAGGTGATGATGAGCTAGGCTACCCCTTGTAGTACTGCATCTGAATGGCTAGAGGAGACAACCTTGAATAAAAAATAAACACAGAAGTGCGCAGCTTTTTTGCCCAGCCATGGACGTAACAGGCTGCTTAGCACTAGAAGTAAAGCGATCGATGTAACGCTGTCAGCTTTTTCGGCAACAACACTGAGATGGATCTGAAGTACACAAGTAAGAAAAGAATAGAGCTCAATGCTGAGCAGACAAAGCAGGACTTTATTTTGACAGACCTTGAACTATTGATTAATAACGTGGTGGAAGCGGCAATGACAACGTACATAAATAACGGCCGGGTCCTTGATGATCAGACAAAACATTATTACATAAAACATAAACTTAAAATTTTATTTTTTATAGAAAAAAATGTATTAATGGCTTTAACTGACATCGCATCCGTTTAACTTCTTTAGATTACTGTAAAATTTAGATTACTGTTTAAGAGCAATCCAATTGAACTGCATATTTTCATGTATTTTACATATAATTATTTAATTTACTTTATTACTCGAACTATTTGAAACTATAATCTTTGAGATAAGTTAAACTCTAAAGTTAGTTATTAAAACACTACAGTTAACAGTTACCTTTAGAAAAAAAAAACATTTTTAACGGTGCTCTGATAATTCGGAAACCATGTAAAATGTCTGTGAATGTATACTTTTATGATGTGAGCATTTATTTGTAAATATGTGATTATGAGCAATTAAATTTGATTAAATTAAAAAAAGTGCTTTAGCAAAAGAAATGCCCGCTATCAGGCTGCGTCCTTTTCTCTTCGATGGTTTAAACAATATAAGCGAAGAGAATTACGGGGTGGAAGAACATTTGGTTCGACTACGGGTGTTTGGCCACAAGCACAATTTCTTTTTCTTTTTTCCTTGCCAACAGCGACAAAAGCGTACTGATTTACTTTTGCCTATCTATCCTTTTTAACAAGTGAACGCCAGTAGACTTTTGTCATTCATCAAGATCAACATCAAACGTCGATGCTAATCAATAAATTTTCTTGATTAATCTATTCCCTTTATTGTTTCTTTTAAATAAAAAATATTTTGAGTAAGAAACAATATCAGTCCATATTGCTGTGTAAGTGATTGATCCACATGAAATCTGAGGTATTTTTTTGTTATGCCAATACGTAAGTGATTGATCTACATTAAATCTGAGGAAGTTTTTTATCATACCAATGTGTAAGTGATTGATCTATATTAAATCTGAGGTAGATTTTTATTATGCCAATAACGATACGTATGCATAGTACCACAGCAAGGCCGAGCCAAATGAAACCTGTACGAGCACCATAAATTGCTATGAATTTTAGAAAAAAAAATAAATAAATAAAAAGAAACTATTTTCCTATGTATATTTAATCAATTTTTCTTTAAATCCAAATTACTTTCTATTATTTAATAGTACAATCGTTATTGTTTTAAATCTGGAATAAAGAGCATCTTAATTTAAAAATTATTTAACAAACTCCAACGTTTCTAGAATGTAGAATGACACTTATTAGTCACGGGAGTTGAAGAAAATTCAAAGATACAAGAAAAATGTTCTACGACCAATGTCTCAAATATTTTGATGACTAAAATAGTTTACAAAAATACTATATTTGACTAGTGTCGGATATTTTACGTAGTGTCTACTTAATTGACATAACCTACGAAAAATTATCAAATTATAAAATCAGTAGCCAGTGGGTGCTTGAGTAGCCAAGCATGAAGTTATACTTCTATAAAATTATATGGCAGATAATATAATTATGATTATAAAAATATCTTCTATGAAACAATAATTTGTACGAAGATGGTGCAATCATCACTGGAATGAGCATACCTACGTCCATTGGGTGTGTTTTCAGTTCATATTAATATTTAATAAATTAACGATTATAAAAAAAACATTGCGGCACAATACAATATACGCAATATATAGGCTGGCCTGTTCACTTTCATCGAAATTTCTGATAATNAAATTTTTTACTTTCTCTTACCTCTAAAAGAAACACAACGAAAACTAATATTTGTATGGTGGAGTATTTTTATTTGGAAAAATTAGTGACATTTCCCAATCAAAATGAGCCAAAAATGCATCTTTGATACAATGTCTGAAAAGGCCCACTTTTATCGATGAAACGTCACAGATTGTTCATAATACTGGTGCTCTACTATACTAAGATTAATTTTCTGTTGTATTTATTTAAAAGAATATTTTCTACTATTTGTTATAGTAATAGTTTAAAAGCAATTGTGGGGATAAATTGGTATTATAAAAAAAGAAGAAAAGAGGATGGGCCGAGGGTTACCATATGAATAAAGAGAGGGGGTGGAAAGGGGTTTAATACTTTAATTTTCTTTTAAATAATTTGACCTAATTAAATCACGGACAAACTGAACTAAGTCTACTTTATATTAACAAGGGTCAAAAAGGAGCTAAGAGAAAATTTAGAATTAATAAGGTAAAAAAAAAGGTAGAGGAGGCAATCAAATATTTAGATTTATAAAAATGATAGTAGAACTGAAAAAATTCCACCTTATTTTAAGGAAAGTCTGACAAAGGCTGGAGGGAGATGTAGAAAATAATCCTCTAAAATCACTATTTAATGCAGCCGTGTATATACATTTATGTATATATGTTAGTGGACATTATTTGCTGCTATTATACATATTAATATCATGGTAAATGTATGCCGATCAATATGAGTGGAAGTTGTGCAGAAGTTCAGGCCTAATGTCTATAGTCAATATAGACATTTGGTCGGAACTTAGGCCGTACATCGCCCGTTCCAGGATGGGTTTTTCCCGAATGGTTTCCCCACCCACAGGATAAATTATTCTGGCGAATGCGGAACG